GCGTCGCATGTATGATTCGCGAGCAGGGTGATTGTTTATTTATATTTGACTGCGTCGCATGTATGGTTCGCGAGCGGGGTAATAGATGCATCTATGGTACGCGCCATTCGATCCGCTGGCATTGCATAGTTTAAATATTGTTGGATCGGGCCGTACGTCCTTTGTATGATTTGCGCATGCTTGTATTGCTTGCGTTGAAATTTATTGAAGTGATGTTGTTCCTTCTCGGCTTGAGAATAAATGTATAAATGACGAAAAGGAATTTGGAAATTTCCTATAAAAGAAAAATTGTTTACTTGCTTCATTCTATTGAATTACAATCATGTTTATAAAAATCCACTGTTTAATATATTATTGATATAACATTATTGGATCACTAATAAGTGTCGAAGTCGACCTCTCGTCTCTACTTCTTCGAGATTAGACGGGATAATTACTGAGTACACGTTGTTTTCGTACTCATACTACACTTGTTGTGCATTTTTGTTGCACAGGTTTATGTGTGACTAGTGGCTTACTGGCATAGCGGCATGGTTGATACGGAGACTTAGGTGAGCTGCACTTATCGAGACAACCCGCAGCCAGCAGAGTCTCCTTTAGAGTATTGTACTGTATTTTCTTTTCTGTCCACTTTGTATACCGGACAGTTACTGTTTTTATTTCATTCCCTAGTAAATGCTCATGCACTTGTGACACCGGGTTCTGGGATGTCTATGGGTTTATTCAGAAATTTAGAATTGTTAGATGTTTCATTATTTATTTAGTGGAATTTATTATGTATTGTTTAAACGTATAAAAGAAGTGATTTCAAAAATATTTAAAACGAGAAGTTACTAGTTATTTGTTGTTGGCTTGCCTGACAATGGTGTCCGGCGCCATCACGACCCTTAGTGGATTTTGGGTTGTGACAGGATGTTTGCAATTGTGCTTTATTTATTATAATTGCAGAATATAAACATACCTAAAATTATTTTCACACAAATTTAAAAAGATATTCTTTAGTTTCGGAAGACAAAAGTTGAATTCGGGGATAAAAATATACTTAGAAGTATATTGACCATTATCATAATTTTTCATGTATGACGTTATTGTCAAAACTTCTATATAACATCTATGTGCTATTACATAAGCTATTCGGCGAATCTAAGTTTCTTAGTAGCATGACAAACATTTTTTTTTTTAAAATCAATTTATATGCGATGGAAGTTCAATTTTAACTTATATATATATATATATACTTCTACCCACACAGGTTTGTTGTCAAGTTTATTATTTTACGTATGTTACAATATACTATATATATATATATATATATAATATATATATATATATATATAATATATATTTTATATTATAATATATATATATATATATATATAATATAATATATATTAAATAAGTTAAATTGAACTTCCATCGCATAATAAATTTGATTTTAAAAAAAAAAATGTTTTCATTGCTACTAAGAAAACTTAGATTCGCCGAATAGCTTATGTAATAGCACATAGATGTTTATATAGAAGTTTTGACAATAAACGTCATACATGAAAAATTATGATAATGGTCATTATACTTCTAAGTATATTTTTATCCCCCGAATTCAACTTTGTTTCTTCCGAAACTAAAGAATATCTTTTTAAATTTGTGTGAAATAATTTTAGGTAGTTTAATTCTGCAATTATAATAAATAAAGCACAATTGCAAACATCCTGTCCACAACCCAAAATCCACTAAGGGTCGTATGGCGCCGGACACTTGTCAGGCAAGCCAACAACAAATAACTAGTAACTTCTCGTTTTAAATATTTTTGAAATCACTTCTTTTATACGTTTAAACAATACATAATAAATTCAACTAAATAATTAATAATGAAACATCTAACAATTCTAAATTTTCTTGAATAAACCATAGACATCCCAGACCGGTGTCACAAGTGCATGAGCATTTACTAGGGAATGAAATAAAAACAGTAACTGTCCGTATAACAAAGACAGAAAAGAAAATACAGTACATATACTCTAAAGGAGACTCTGCTGGCTGCGGGTTGTCTCGATAAGTGCAGCTCACCTAAGTCTCCGTATCAACCATGCCGCTATGCCAGTAAGCCACTAGTCACACATAAACCTGGCAACAAAAATGCAAACAAGTGTAAGTATGAGTACGAAAAACAACGTGTACTCAGTAATTATCTGTCTAATCTCGAAGAAGTAGAGACGAGAGGTCGACTTCGACACTTATTAGTGATCCAATAATTTATATCAATAATATATTAAACAGTGGATTTTTATAACATGATTGTAATTCAATAGAATGAAGCAAGTAAACAATTTTTCTTTTATAGGAAATTCCAAATTCCTTTTTCGTCAATTTATACATTTATTCTCAAGCCGAGAAGGACACAACATCACTTCAATAAATTTCAACGCAAGCAATAACAGCATGCCGCAAATCATACAAAGGAACGTACGGCCCGATCCAACAATATTTAAACTATGCAATGCCAGCGGATCGAATGGCCGCGTACCATAGATGCATCTATTACCCCGCTCGCAGAGAACCATACATGCGACCAGTCAAAATATAAATAAACAACACCCTGCTCCGCGAATCATACATGCGACGCATGTACACCATAGAAACACACATTCAAACAGTCAGTGAACACTTCATCAGGGGACAATTATTCAAGGAGATGTGAATTTCTCTTTTACAAGCCAAGAAGATGAAGTTTAATTCTTTAGAAAGTCATTTGCCACTTCGTTATGATTTAAGCAATTTAAACTATCAATAGGTTACAATTATAACAAGTAAAACATGATTCTGGGTCCAGACTACCCGGATATAAGCATGATAGTAGCTCGCATGGACTCTCGTCACC